TTATTCCAATATGTTGGACATGCGGAGAGACCGAGTTTGCAGACTTGCTTAAAATAAAGGTTCTTTGCTTTTACACATGGGACTCGATCTCCTTGTTGATTTTTGCAGGGACTTTGCGGATTTGGACTTCAGAGGGCCATGTCTGGTTCTGGGGTTCTACTGCAGCTGGAATCTGTGATGGTGTCCATGGCCCAAGTTAGCACAGGGGGTCATGGAACCAGGCTGTGCTGAGCCAGTCCCACACTGGGATAGAAGTCCCTGCCCCTATCTGGATAGTGAAGCAGGAGAGCTGGTCCCCTCATGGTAGTCCCCCATTCAGGAAAGCTGGCCCCACCCCTCACTACAGCGGTACACCTCTGCTGGGCAGGACACTAGAGCTGACCTGTGGTCAGGGACACAGCTGAGCTGACCCTGGAGGCTTGAGAGCAGAACAGCCTACCCCACCATTCCTTGTCTGCCATGTGGTGGCGTGGGTGGGAGAAAGATGCCTCCCCTCCTTCCCACTTGCCTGTTACCACCTGTGGCAGGTGACAGAGCTGGAGCCAGGGTCACAAGAGTGAGAGCTAGCCCTGCCCCTCACCAGCTGCAGCACACAGGAGACTGGGCCCTGCAGCCTGCCTGGGCAGCACACTAGAGCCAACCCTGTTGTGGGGGCGGGGTCCAGGCTAGTTGGCCCTGAAGGCATGAGAGCAAGAGAGCTGACTCTGCCCCCACCTCATATGCCCCCACAGCAACCAGGATACTGGAGCCTGCTTCTGTCCTGGGAGAAACAGTATAGCTGTTCCTGGTGGTATGAGTGTGGGTGACCGGGGTCTGAGGACCTGGGAATAGGTGAGCTGGTTCCACCCCTGCTGCAGGCTGAGTGAGCTTGCCAAGGCACTAGAGACTATACTGGGAAGCTGGCAGGCTGGCCCATCCAGCTACAACCTACGCTCAGATCCAGGGATATGAGTTGACCCAGCCCAACATCTGTTGGGTCTGGGATCACACACTGGTGGTGGGACCAACCACTAAATTCTATTAAACCACACGCAAGCTTCAGAAAAAGAAAAAAAAAATCATCATGGGGCACAGAAAGCTTGTCAGCTACAGCTGTGACCACAGCCAGAGATCAGGCTTCTGGAACTGGGGCAACGGGAGCTGGTTTGGGCCTCTCTCATGGTAAAATCAAGCACCAGGTGTGGGTCAAAGAGCTTTTACAGCCTTGAGGTCAGGCTTAAAGTCGCATTACCTATTAAGTTTTACAACTTTTGGTTATAGGACGTTAGAATGTTAGCTTGGGATGGTTGCGAAAGCCTATGGCTGTCACATCTGCTTTTCGCTGTCCCTGAAAGAATGCAAGGCAGAGAGTAGAGTCGCATAGGGGACTGTTAAAAATTAAGGGAACACAAGCAGAGGGTCCCATAGAGGCAACAGGTAGAAGCTAACCTTTGTCCGCAATACCTGCCTAGCAGGGAAGCTGGGAGGCAGGAGACAATTGGTAAAAGTTTCCCTCTGTCCACAGTAGCTGCCAGGATGTCTGCCCTTAAAAAAGGAAGTGTTTGGTAAAGGTTAACAGTGGCTGCCGTCTTTATTTTTTTTTATTCCTTCCAAAATGTGTTTGGGCTTCCAACTTTATATTTCTATATTCCTGGACCCTTTGTTTCTATATTCTGTTACTAGATTCCTCACATACCCCTCATCTAGGAAGTGTTGGAGCATGTGAAGGAATGAACCTACAGATCAAGACGGCAGGATCTCCATGACACAGGACAGTGACAGGATATCCAAGAGGAGCCCCAGCGTTCTTACAGTTCTTTACATTGGGGTAGCACAAGCCAGAGACCTTGAGCCAGACCAATGACTCATGGCAATGAACTCTTGAATGTATGTAAAGATGAATGGAGTAATGGGTAAACTGTGGGACCCAACGGGCCACGCTACAGCTTCCATTACAAGAGTCTCTCCCTCTTTCTCTCTCTCTCTCTCTCTTTCTCTCTCTCTCTCTAATTTTGTTCATTAGTTTGTGTTAAGTTGGGAGCATAACCCCAGTCCCTGGCATCCATCCCAGCCCCCTGGCCTGTGAGTTGAATTGGTCTGGACTCCAAATCCTAGCATGCCAGGTCCTGACCCCTCCTGGGGTGGAGGGTCAGGACCATTCCCACAGGGTATTTAAGTGGGCTCCCAGAGGAGGACCACGTGGTCCCAGGTTTGCATGTGCTCCTCGCTTTTCTATCTCCCCTGCCATGCTCTTGGTCACCCGAGAGCGCTGCACTAAATAAAACATGGATGTTTTAAATTGGTTTAATCTATTTTAATTGGATTTTTGTGTGCAGGTGGAACACAAAAATCTTAGAATTTTTTCCTAACAGGTCGGATTATGCTTTACATTTGGTTTGGTTCGGGCGGAAGCTGCAACAGCAGAGGGAGGATGCAATGGAATGAAGAGATAAGTGGGATCAGATCGTGACGAGAAATCCACGAAGAATCAATAAAAGAAAAAAAGATTGCTGTCTTTAAGGTATCAGCGCAGACACAGAAAGTGTAGCAGCTGCTTTGCTAAAAGAAATCTGTGCACAGAAGAAAACATTTCCTCCCTTCCTCTTCTCCCCTCTGCCTTCCTCCTTCTCCTTGCTCCCCATCTTTGCCTGCATTTGGGGACCTTGACCCAGTGTGTAAGAGCTGAGGGGCAGGGCAGAGGAGAGCAAAGACAGGTTACTGCAGAGGTGAGGTGCAGGGCAGAGGAGAGCAGAGACAACTACAGCAGAGGTGAGGGGCTGAGGAGAGCAGAGGAGGGCAGAGTCAGCTACTGCTGAGGTCCAGAGAGAAGAGACTGAGAGAGCAGTAAGAGGCTGGAGAGGGAGGGAGGGGTCCTCAGGACCCGGACGTAGGTCTCTCTCCACCACCAACTTCAGGCATACAATCATATTATACCACAGAGCTATGTGGTTTGGTCTCATCTGCCTCACTCCTGGACTCACTGAAGCGATGCCCCATGCATCCTGCTGTCTTCTAGTGTTTTCCATCACTGCCATGCTCCTGAGCTGCTCAGTCCTCAGTAGGAGATGGTGCCTGACGCCTTGAACCTTACTTGATTCAGCAAACCCAAACTTGTGTCCGGGTGCACAGGTCCACAGGTGCACCTGCTGGACTCATTTCCCAACACTGCACATTGTCAGCTTTTTAAGTTTTTAAAAAATATTTAAGGTTAGGTTTACAACTCCTGGATTGCTAATCATTTCTTGGAGTTTCCGCAATTATGTTGCCAATACATGTAGATTTACCCAAAACAAACTGATCTCTTGATGAGTTTTTCCAGTGAACATAATGTAACACTGTACATTAACACTTTCTACTGTCTACAATAAAGTTCCATATGGAAAGAGAGTGGTGGGTTAGCACTTTACTTCATGAAGGTCTTAAAAGTCATAGGCAAGGGAGAGTTCAGTGCTGTAGAGGACTCAGTCACAGAACAACACAACACAGGAAGGGAGGGAGGGAGGGAATGAAAGAGGAAGAAAGGAAGGAGAAAAAGGAAAGAGGAAAATAAGAATTAAAGCAGGTTTTCATTATGCTGAATATCTTGGCCAACCTCAATGGAGAGAAGTCTACAGTTAAACAAGTCTTTTTATATGAATTTTGCTTCTTTTAACCTTAAAGTTGGATTTTCAAGACAGCCTGATTTTGGAGGAATGGAGAAAGAGCCACTCAGGTGATACAGCAAGAACTCACGTGAGCATTTTGTCAGACTAGACCACACGGTGGCCTTTTCTTTTCCCGAGAGCCTGCAGGAAGGGTTACTAAGTACAGGAGGGGCTGCAGGAAGGATATGGTGAAGATCACACACACCCCAGGACCAGGACATTGCTCAGCCCTCGTGGTTATTTTCTGTTTTCCTTTCTCTTGCTTACAGGGACGCCTGGTATGTTTTCCTTCTACCACTGATCAGTTCCTTCCACCTAAATAGGTCCCCTTCTGATATCAGTTTGAAGAGTTTCTCTTTGCAGTTTAGAGCAAGATCATTAGTACTGATTGAACTCAGTTAGTGATCACCAATGAACTCAAACGTTGAAGAATTTGTGACCTCTTATCTTCTCCCTACTCAGAAGATGCCACATAGCAAGGATGTCAGCTCCTCGCAGTAACCTGTGTGTGATCTTCAGCGCTCTGACACAGTGGCAAATCTCTGATTGCGAATGTTGGGTCCACACAGGTGTGTGAACATGGGGCAGATCACCAAGTCTAAAAAAACAGAAGCAGATTTTATTCCAGAAAAAAAATAAAGAATTAAAATAAAAATCTCCATGGGGCACAAAAAGTTTATCAGCCAGCTGAGACCACACCAGAGATGGATTTTGTAAGGCTATGCCAAAGGCTGTTCTGAATCTACCTTCTTATAGTAGGGGTGTCAAGCATTAGGTCTGAACAAAGGAATTCTTACAATCTCAAGGTAAAACTCCGATACAGATTGCCTTACTTTACAATCTTCACTTTTCAGTTAAACTAGTGTGTGTACTGACTCTATTGTCTTCCTTGGTACTTCCAGGTGGTGTTTACTGAAGCCCTGTGCTCTCCCCTTTGATGCTGCCAGTTTCACGTAGCAGGGATAAGGGGCAACCCAGAGGTCATATATCTATCTCCTAGAAGTTAACTCAGCTCAAATCCCTTGTTAATTAAGGATGGATGGGGGGTGGGGGGTGTTAGGCTCTTCGTTTGCAGAGAGATGCTTCGGCCTTGTATATAGAGCTATGGGATGTAAAGCACAGTAATCCACTGTTAATAGTTAATCCTTAAACTGCTTAGAGAGCTGCTGACAGCCTGCTCTCATTCTCCTAGGCTTACAACTTTATATTTCTTATACATTTTTATTTTTGGAATCTACATTTTTATATACTTATTGCTTTGTGCGTGCGTGTGTGCGTGTGCACGCACAGGCTGCTGGGAGGCTGCCTCTTCCCTCTTGGCCTCTCAGTTTCCGGGTGGGTGTGCTTTGGGCGCCAAATGGGAGAGGGAGGTGAAAGATGGATGCAGCAGCAAACTCAGGCTCTGGCCTCCCGCTGTTCGATGGCCCGACTTGGCAGTCAAGCCCCCACCTGGCTTGCATCTGGATGTAGTGAAAGGAGACAGGCTAATGGAGAAACTGATTATCGATGAGAAGAAGTATTACTTATTTGGGAGAAACCCTGATTTGTTTGACTTCACCATCGATCACCAGTCTTGCTCTGGAGTTCACGCGGCACCTGCAGAGAGTTTTCTTGGTAGATCTCAACAGCACTCGAGGGACTTTCTTGGGTCACATTTGGGTGAAATCTCACTAGCCTCAAGAGATTCCCATCGGTTCCACGGTCTCATTTGGTGCATCCACAAGGCATACACTCTGCGAGAGAAGCCTCAGACATGGCCATCAGCTGTTAAGGGAGACGAGAAGATGGGTGGATTGGATGATGAACTCAAGGGCTTGCAGGGACTTCCAGAAGAGGAGACCGAGATTGATAATCTGACAGAGTTCAACACTGCCCAGAGCAAACGGATTTCAATTCTCACTATTGAGGAGGGAAATCCGGACATTCAGAGACCAAAGAGGAGGAGGAAGAACTCACAGGTGACTTTTAGTGAGGACGATGAAATTATCAACTCAGAGGATGTGGATTCCTCTGTCGGGGGGCTTCCAGAACATGGTGCAGACTGCAGTGGTTCTAGTCAAGAAGAAACGGATGGAGGGCTCTGGCTTTCTGGGCCTGGAGGAGACAGGAAGCAGGCGCATACAGAACTTTGCCTTCAGTGGAGGATTATACAGGGCTCCCAACAGCTTGGCATCCATGGGACAGCACTCAGCGGGGACTTGCCCATGCCATACCCGAACCTTGCCCCTGATGTGGACTTGACTCCTGTTGTGCCATCGGCAGTGACCATAACCTCCACACCAAACCTTGCAGTCTATAACCCTGAAGCTGTCAATGAACCCAAGAAGAAGAAACCCACAGCTTCCTTATTGATTTGATAATTTTGACTATGGAGCGTGTGGGATGGGTGGGATGGGTGGAAGCTGGCAAAGGGGCTAATGATCTAGGGCGGAAACTTTCTCTGTGTGCGGTATCGTCTTTCAGAAAGTTTCCTGGGCCCCTAACATGTAATATTGAGACTAGGGGTGGGCTAAAATACCAGTTAGAGACCTGAGTCAGAACCCCTAAGGGTGGAGAAAGGCTCTCCAGGCCCTAAGCAGACTGCCCTGGTGCTTTCCCTCTGCCTCCATAGCCTAGGGCCTTTTTCATGTGAAGTCACACACACACTCAGGGGGAATCCAGAGCTATAGAGTCCTGTGCTGCCCTCTTGTGGCATCAACTTTTGTGTGTGCCATGAGGCCGTTTAAGACTATGACCAGTCAGGGTGGCTCACGTTGAACAGGAAAAGACTCTACTTTGCAAGGGTCAGGTTCATATCAGGAGGACATTGCCCAGCTGTTGGTTTGGAGGCTCCCCCCATTCCCACATACCCCCTCCCCCACCCAGTAGAGCGGTCTGGTTATTCAGAGCTCCAGGCTAGACCTGGCTAACAGGAGACAAGGAAGGAACCATTGTATGATCTTTGCATAGATTTGTACATCTGTGTAATAGGGCCTTTTCTGCTCCAAGTGTAGCTTTTTACCTGTAACCTTTATTACATTGTAAATTAATGGTAAGCTGGTTCCTTAGTTTTTGAATTTCTTCCTCTCGATCTTAATTCTGCTTTGCAGGATGTTCCTGTTCTATGCAGATCTTCCACGTAATGGAATTCCTGTTTCATCCTGTCCAGCTCTGTCTCCAGCTCTTGTTTAGAGACGTTCTGCCTAGCTATCTGGTCTTGCAGATCTTGTAACTGTTCTCTTGTTGACTGTGCTTCACTAACCTGCTGAGCCTCCATATCCTGCAACTCAGATCTCAGCTGATATATCTGGCCCATCCGCTTCTGGGTCTTCTTTTGCATCTCCTTCTCACATCAAAGTTCTTCTAGCTCCATGCTGCCAGCAGTACTGCTATCCAGGCCTTCAAAACTGGAGCCTTCCTTTAAACCGGTTATCAATTTTTCTTTAGACTGCAGTATTCACATAGCTTTCTGCTTGCAGTTAATTAATTCCTGCTTAGAAGACGCCACGCTAGACCTGTGCAGCTTGACTTGCTGCTGGAGCCCATCAACCTTCTTCTTCTCCTCAGAGTCCTTTCTTTCCGCCAGAGTAACTGCTTCTGCCAAATTCTGACGTTCCGCTTCCATTTTACTAAGGCATTCAGTGAATTCACTCTGCGTCTGTTTGTAGCTCTCCGGCTTTCTTCAGAGTGGCATCGGCTTCATGCAGCCTCTCCTGAAGAGTTTGTAGAGCGTGGTTCTGTAGGCTACCGCCTTCATTGTGATCCTGCATTATTGGTGACTTTTCACTTTGCAAGGCTTCCAGTGCTACCCTGCGGGATCTCAGCACCTGCCAGCCTTCCGCGGTTGCACTTTGAGCACAGCCAGCTGGGAATCCTTTGCAGCCACTGCTACAATAAGGTCATCCACTTGGGCTCATAGTTCCCGAGTTATTCCATCACTCTTTGAATAGTCAACATTCCATTTTTCAACTCTTGCCCTTGCCTTATTTAATTCTTCTTGAGTTTCTTTGGATCAATGAAGTAGTGAGGCCATTTCCTGGTTTAAACGCTGGACTTCATTCCTGAGCAACTCCAGGCGGAGATTAGACAATTCCTGTGATCTGTTCCCATCAGTAGGTGCTATTCTGTGCTCGGTGCTTTCCTTCATTGGTATATCTAGAAATCTATTTACCAAAATTTGGATGCCAGGAAAATGTTCTGCCATTTTTATGATTCTAAAGTAAGTGATCATTTCAAAACATCAAAAAATGACTTTTTAATAATTTATATGTTTTTTCCAGAATAGTATTTCCAGGCTTTATGTTTTAGATGTTTTGATTACTGGGGTTGTGGTTCTCAGAATTGTGACTTAGATACTGAAGACCAAGGAAGTAAGAGGACATGCTAGCACGACAGCCTGAGCACTGCCCTTTCCTATGGGTCCTATGGGTCTTGAACCTTTTTGGAAATCTGCCGTATTCACTATACGCTGCTATGAGCTGTCTCCATTTATTTTATGCATATCCCGTGCCTTGCCTCTGTGATTTGGGACATGTGGGAAGTCCTTCCTGGGTTGTCACATACAATCACAGATTTAACAGCAATAGTACACACAGCTGAGCAGCAACACTGCATCCATCATTATTTTCTTCACTAACTTCTCTAGGGAGAGTGTCTTCCGTGATTAGAGTCCCCATGCATTTCCTCAGCAAGAAGGATGGCTATGCAGATTGGGACAGGCTTTTGGTTTTTTATTATTTACCTATTTATGTTGATGCATGAGCTCTCTTCAAAGCCCTGGCTGTCCCGAAATTCTCTATGTATATTAAGATGATGTGCCATCCTCCACACTCTGAAATTAAAGGCATGGGCCTCATCCCCGACTCAGGGACACATTTTTAAAGCACTGGTTCATAGTTGCATTCATTATCAGCCAATCTCTTTTCCAGCATTTGGTTACTACTCTGTGAGGTTATCAAAAGACGCATTTTCCATATTTTTTATAGAATCAGAGAACATTATCCCCTACATACTGTGAAATACCTTTGCACCATAGTTCATTTTCCATGTCAAGCCAGTCTCAAACATCATTTAAGACATTCCACAAAACGAGTGCCATTCCTTCCATCAGCACTATGTGTAGTTTTCTTTTATTTGGATTTTAATGAATTGTCATGCATGTGTTCCTGCTATTTGCTGTGGAAAATAAACTTCTGAAATACAGCCCGGGGGGGGGGGGGGGCGAAAGACATTCCACAAAAGTAAAGTATCTAATTCTTTGTGTTTAAAATTTTAGAGGCACTACTACAGAGCTACAATATGGAAAACAGCCTGGTATTTGGCAGAAAAATAGACAGGAGGATGAATGGAACAGAATCGAAGACCCAGATATTAACCCATACACCTTTGAACGTCTGGTTTTTGACAAAGAAGCAAAAAATATCAAATGGAAATAAGAAAGCATATTTAATAAATGGTGCACGCATAACTGGATCAACATGTAGAAAAATGAAAATAGACTAATATCTCTCACTATGCACAAAACTCAAGTCCAAAAGGATCAAAGACCTCAACATAAAGCCAGCCACACTAAACCTGATAGAAGAGAAAGTGGAAAGTACACTTAAACACATTGGCACAGGAGACCACTTCCTAAATATAACCCCAGTAGCACAGACACTGAGACAAACAATTAATAAATGGGACCTCCTGAAACTGAAAAGCTTCTGTAAAGCAAAGGACATGGTCAACAAGACAAAATGACAGCCTACAGAATGGGAAAAGATCTTCACTAACCCCACATCAGACAGAGGTCTGATCTCCAAAATATACAAAGAACTCAAGAAATTGATCATCAAAAGAACCAATAATCAAATCATTTCTGCAGGACCCATAGGCATATTCTGTGTGGGCAGTGCTGGCAGGAGAGACTGCGTATTTTGATTAGAGTCTGCTATTGTAGCAAGGTATACCAGGTCGTATGCAACATCTGCTGATACTGAGAGCACTCTGACGCCTTCCCTTTAATCTGATAGTCCATTATACACTGAATAAGATAGTTATTTTCATCCAGCATCTTCTGGATGGTGGTGGGCATGATCTCCCCCTTGTCTCGCTGCTTCGGGGCTGCGAATGCCACAGACATGTTGCCACCAAGCCTGCAATCGGCGAGTCCTGGTATAAATTCATATATATTGATACAAATTCCAATTATATTGAATATGCTCCTATTTTGGTTTGCAATATTTGTATACCTATGCAAAGTTATTTTGTCATCTTGTATGCATGAATGTTTCTATTGCTGTTTAAGAAATTTCATATACTAATACAATTTTAGGATATTTTTATCATATTGCACTATACATTTCTACCTCTGATCAAGATACTTATACATTGTTTACATTTTGAGGTCATTGTCCTCATTTTCTGCACAATTTTTTAAAGATTGTATAATAATCTAATATGAAGTCTCATTCTTTAAGTTATATAGGTATTAAGATCTACAGGTCAATAGTCATTCGTGTTTGTCATACTTATAGTTAGACTAATCAGGTCCTTTAGATACATAGAGATTGTATTCCACACAGGTAGGTAGTCTTCAACCACTTTAAAGAACTGTAGAATGTAGTATTTAAATAACTTAGGGTTCTGTTGATGTGAGACGCAATTGCTCCAGCAGCATCAATCTATCTCCAAGAGAGTGCTGAGCACCAAAGACACTCCACTTGGAGCTTGTTTTCTTCCTCCACATGGCAAAGCTGGCCTTTGGGCAAGGAACTGCCCATGCCTCTACCACTGACAAAATACATGGTGACCGGACAGGACAAGCAGGATACAAGAACAAAGACTGTCAAACATGGTAAGACATATCAAACATTGCCAAGACATGGCAAGATAGTCATGAAAATTTTCTTGCCTCTAAAAATGGTCTGTCAATTACTCTAGACCTTAGCCAAAGTTGGTTGCTCCACCATTGCAAATGAGACTTTGGGTGATTGCCCATGTAGCCAGTTGTCTCTGTCATTTATTGCACATTTCAGAAGCTGCTTGATTGTACTTCCTGCCTGCTCAAGTAATATTTTCTCCCTTCACAGGTCTTCGATGGGGTTGAAGACTAGTCATAATTATGTTTCTCTTATGACTTAGCCAAGCCATTTCTAATACAAGACTTAGACTCCTTAGGATAGAATAATTATTGAAACATTTAGCATATGTTTCTTGCTTGATATTGTTTATGCTGGTTGTAATTCTAATTATTATACCTGATGCTTGTTCTTATTGTATGTAGTTTTGTATTAGGCTTAAAACTGTTTTATTTAAACAAAAGGGGAAAGTACTGTAGGAACTCTTTCAGTCAGTAACCTTTAACATACCAGCCTACTTGGGCGTGGCCTCTCATACCATAAATGCCCATGTAAAGAGCTCACTTGTTCACTCTCTCCTGGCTGCTGGATTTGGTTCCTGTTCTCATTTGTGCAGAGGACTGTGATCTGTGAGTCTACCCCTAAATAAATAACCCTTTATTATACTCGATTCTGAGCTAGTATAGCATTATTTTATAGCATCCATCTTCAGAGTGAGAGCAAATGCTTTCCTCTCTTTGAGATGGAAGGAGGGCTTTAAGTTGCTGGGAGAGAACCCATTATGCTTGTTCTGAGGCTGGCTAGTGAGGCAAGAAGACGGAGGTCATGAGGGCTATGTATGGCAGACTTGTGTGACTCTCCAGAGTCTCTTGAGGATTCCCTATTCTCTTAGAGACCTGACTGTGTTGCATAAGAAAACATGGCTCCCAGAGGAGAGGAGCTGCACTCTAGAGGAAGAAAGAAATCAACCCCTATGGAACTTTGTAATTTAGAAGATGTGAACTTTGCTTTTCGAAGGGAAATGCACAGTGCCAACCCAGAAGCGAAAGAGAAAGTGTGGTCTAGGCTTGGGGAGTTTGCGTCTGTTCCACAGAAAGCAGATCCTTCCACTCCTGGCCACCCTTTCTGTGCTTTCTTACCAACCTGCAACTATGGCAGAAGAAGGATATCTGAATATCATCCTTTTCCCACCAAAAATTGGACACCCTGAGAAAATAACTCCAAACTCAATGCTATAATTTAAGAAGGAAAGCTGGTAAATTAGACCCAGGGTTCCAGGACTTCAGTGAACTTTGCTTCTGTCATGGAATTTGGTGAGCTCTGCCTTGGTTTTTAAGGACTGTGTCCCAGACGTGTGCCTGAAAGTAGTGGGTATGGACCATAGTCAGTTTTGAAAGCTGTGGTCTCGAACTCAATGGCCAGGGTTCCACGCTAGCACTTAGCTCCTCTAAGAGTTTGCACAGGCTTTTTCTTTTGGTCCACCAACTGTTACCATTCATGTAGGCACCACCCCTACAGGTTCCATGGTGGACGGGAGACTGTGGTGGGTGTGAGACAGATACATGCGGAGAGAGCTTGGATATAGAGTTTATTTACTGGGGGTGGGAGGGAGAAGAAGAGAGAGATAAAGAGAAGAAAGAAGGAGAGAAGAGGGAGAAGAGAGAGAGGCAGAAGCTCCCTCTCCAGAAGAAGGCGGGAGAAGGGGAGTATGGGGAGGTGGAAGGCAGGGTGATATTCTTGTCTCTGCAGGAAGGGGGAGATTGGGCGTGGGTGGGGCTTGTTTTTTAAAGGGATAGGGTATCCAGGTGACAGGCCAGGCCAGCAGGTTTACTTTTATAACATTCCCACCTTTCTCTTATTTAAAAAAAAAAAAGTGGGAAATTAGGCATGACAGGTTGAGGGATTAGGACTTCGGATTCTTAAGACTGCTTCCTGTTTATTTAAGGATGTCTGAGTCTTGGGAAACCTGAGGAGGCTGGGTGAGTCACATCCTGGGGTAGCTGATTACTTTACACCTGTCCAGTGTCTCTTGGACCTGGCAAGGTGTTGGCAGGGTGGAGGACAAGGTTACATTTAGGAAGAAAAAAAACTTTTTCAGGACCAGGGAATTGAGAGGTGTGTTTAAAGGTGGATCCTTCAATTCGGCTCCCTGGAACTCACATGAATTCCTTGAGTTTGTGAAAACATAAGTTTTAGACACATACATTGTATAAACAGCAGCATATTTATGTCAGAACGACTGTGAAAGATGTTTTTGCACAGTGAAAAATATCTTTAGAAAATGACCAAAGAGAATTTAAAATCTTGATCTTGCAGTAGCCGTACCATGAAAGGCAGCACAAGAGAGAAAACTGATAACCTGCATTTGTCCTCAGACCTTCATAATCTTCAGGTTCACACCTTAATAATTTCCATTACTATAGCTTAAAACACCTTTTATTTAGGACATGTTAAGAAATTGTACTCAAATTTGTTTGGTGAGGTTGTCCTTTAAAACTGACTAAACCTCTTAGCTGTCAAACTGCATCAGAGATCTTTGAGAAGGATAAAATTTTACTTCAGTTACTGATTTAACAAATGACAGAGAACTTACTCGATTGGCACCTAGAGCCACTCCTCAGGGTTCTCCATGGTTGTTGAGAGCAGGTACATCAGGTCTGTATTTTTCTTCTGCTGTTTAGCGCAGGGCCTACCAGGTTTTAGAAGATCCTGTGGGTTAGGAGTCTGTAGGAAGGTAAACCTACCTTGGCCTGAGCAGCTAGGCAGTTGATTCCACTTCTTTATCCACTGTCTGGAGATCTTCAGGAGTTTAGATGAAAGGCAGTTTAACCCAGTGGTTAGCACTTTCACTTGATGAAGAAAATTGTGGTTGGCCATTGTTGTGTGCCCATTTGTTTTCTGTTCTCTTTGGAAGAGATGGGTTGCTGCTGCTAGGAGTGAATCAGTCTCTTCTTTATGAAAAGTCTTTTAATAATTAAACATTTAAATGCCATATTCCCCAGATCTTTGAGCACTGGAAGGCTATCTACTAGGTATAGAAAAGTGATAATTACTGTATAGAATCTGTCTGGAGAGCTTAGCCCAAGCTTGACAGTACTGGTTTTTAACTGAACAGGTGAGATTTTTAATTGTGAAAGACAAAGAAGAAAAAACTGTTTGCAATAGAAGTTTACAATAGGGGGAAACAGAGTTGGATTCCATATGTATTTTAAAACAGAGTTGGATTACATACATGGTATGTTGTAACAGATGTAAAAGTACATACTAATTTAAAGTATTTGAGATTTATTGCTTTCTTAATCTGTAATGAGATACAATGAACAGAGTTCAATAGGACTGGGACTACTTAAAACGTTTTTTTTTAACATTAAGTCCATGCACATTTGCACACAGTTGAATTAAAGTTTTATACACATATACACACAGCGTTAAAGCTAACTTACTTTAACACAGAAAGTTAACTCAAAAGTCACATGCATACACACACACACACACACACACACACACACACACATACACACACACACACCTGCTCAAGTCTGGCTACTTCCTGCGGGCATGGGGTGACATGGGAGAGGGGAGAGCTGGGAGTTGGTCGGCTCATGCTCAGTGAGAGGTGTGACTGTAGTGGCATCTGGTTTACTGTCATCCTGGAGACCTCAGGCAGCTGTTCCTTGAGGTAGATGGAAAGGCAGGTGGCTAGGAGAAAAAATATATTGTTATTGCTGGCCCTATAAATGGGACTAGCCATGGGAAGAGTCATTAACTGTCAGACAGAATGGGACAGAGAAGTGTCCTGGTTGTACAGGTGAGGCTTGGGTGAATAAGTGATATACCATAGCAGATATGCCAATTTTAAAACCAAATTTTAGTTGGCAGATGTCCTTTTGAGCCAGGAGAGTTGGAATCACTGGTGAAGTCCCTGGAGCTGGTGCAGGTGTTGGTGCTAACTGGAGGGCCCTTTGTAGGTTGGTCTTGGTCCAGACAGCAGGAGTGGCATGAAAAAATGTGCTTGAAAATGGGTGGGGTTAAAATAGGCTCTGGAGAATATTAGTTTTTGTTGTTGTTGTTGTTTGTTTGTTTGTTTGTTTATTACCAGACCTGATTTTTGATACAGCAGCAGAACTTTTTTCAGGAACCTGCAGGTATCTGTAAGGTAAATGGAACAGGAACATTTTAGAAGACAATTAGAGAGAATTGACAACTTTGGACTTTTGAAGATACACCTGAAACCTGTTAATCCTGGACCATGAAACCTGTGAAAGAGGCACACCTGTCTGTATTTTAGCAGAAAACTTGACAAATGAAGTAATGAGCTACCAGTACCTTAAGTCATCAAATGCCACTAGACAGATCTGGGAGGGATAAATGAGCAGAAATGAGACAGGTTTTTTGCTATGCGGGCAATCCCAAGTCCCTCCTTAGTCTTTGGAACACCAGCCTTAGAAGCAGTACAAGAGGCCCAAAGATTTTCCTGTGGTGGAGATATTTAGTCTACCTGTCTTGACAGGATGAGACGGTCAATTCCCGGTGTAGCATCCAGGTGGAAGGCTGCTTTTTGTTGTGTGGGTGGCTTTGCCATACCCAAAGGCAAGCCTTGAGGCAGAAGGTCTTCTGTAACCATGCATCTTCTTGGAGGAGCTACAGGATGCTGCAGGAGCTGGCATGTCTCTGTGTTAGAAGCTCTTTTGTTAAACACCATACTCTCAGATCTGTAAAGGCACTTGAGAACTGGGTACCATTACCTGTTAGTTATATTTAAATTAGACATATAAGTTAAATTTAGACATGTATTTTACCCAATTAGTTACTGCTTACTAATGGTAGTAAATGTAAGAAGATTAAAAGGAATATTTTAATAAGTCAGAGAATACGAGCACACATGGGTACTCTTAACCCCAAATGGCATTTGGTGCGGGAGAATTATCTGTATTCTGTCAATCATACTTTAATAAAACGTTGATTGGCCAGGCAGGAAGTATAGGTGGGTCAACCAGACAGGAAGTAGAGGATTTTTTTAGAACTGTTGTAACCTGGAGTTATAAGTTTTACAGATCTTAAAACACGTACACATACACACAGAGATACTATGGAAACAAATACACATACATTGACAGACATAAAAGCATAGTGTGGCCACATTATTTTAACAGACAAATAAAACGTTTTTTAGGAACCTGTGTCAGCTGGCCAACTTAAAAATCAAACAAAAACAAGCATACTGTGGCCACATTATTTATACACATATTTTAACAGATGAACAAAACTTTTTCCAGGAAACTGTGTCAGCTGACCAATTTAAAAATCCTGGAGTAGGTTGCAGAAGCCAGGTGAGCACATAAGTGTCTCATTGAGGGCCAGATCAGCAGTTGCTGTCGCAGAGAACAGAAACACAACACAAGAAGGAATACCTATGCAGCTCAGAGTGGGAGGGCAAGGAAAAGGATCCCTTGCAGGGAGATCCCCAGCATGACCAGATCACCTTCCAGGAATGAGAGAGAGACAGGAATACAGAGATGCAGACAAACAGCAAACAGTGAGAGAAGGGCAGCAGAGGTACAATGTGCAGAGGGTGACCAGGAGGTGGATTGCAGCATGGCAGGGTAGGGAGGGGCAGTAGGAAGGTGGGGAGAAGCAGGAGGGTGGACAGGGGGAGAAATGAGAGGAATGTTGACCACTGAATAGAACATGTGGCCCCATAGAAGGGGATTGAATAGACAGGGTTGGGGGAGGAACCAGTGTCTCCAGCAGCATGGTCAGGGCAGAACTGCTTTTTTTTTTTTTTTTTTTCTAGTTTCCCCCTCTCCTCGCAGAATTGCTTTTGAGTCCCGATTACCAGATAGGCGGGAATCAGGAAGCACTGTGACCCTAGTCAACAAGACCAGTGCTGTGAGACACTGGCTACTGAGGGAAGGGTAGGAACCCAGTACTCAGATGGGCATATGGGAGTTCTGTTCACTTGTTCCCAAGCCAGCAAAAAAGTTTTCAGGGTCACAGAGGATGGAAAATTCAAAAATTTCCTCTGGTGGCCATCGTGTCCCATTGTCAAGGGCATATTGAGGCCATGCATTACTATACAGAGAAATCAGACATTCAGGACATATGGTGTCAGACAGTCCCAATTTAAAAAGAATTTGTTAAAGGCAGCCCAAAGGTGACTGAGGATCTGGTTTTGAATTGCAAATATTCATTTCACAAGTCTATGCCAGGACCTGAAGCCTAGCACAAAACAACAACAACAACAACAACAACAGCAACAACAAAACCAGGGATGTGGGATATTCCCTTGAACAGAATGTCTTCTGAAAAAGAGGTTACTTTGGACAAGGAAGGTCCTTGTTCCAGTAACAGGTTGGGGGCCTGGTACAGCCACGTGTTTGGCAGGACACCCTGAAAATCTCAGGAGGCCCTGAGCCTCTAAGGCAATGACTTGGAAAGACAGCTTACCCAGCCGAAAGCTGATCTTAGCCTGGAGGGGAGCAGGTTGGGGAGAAGGGTGATTTCCCACTATGTGTCCCCAGGCTGCTGGGGGAAGTCCCTCAGTGGGACCGCCAGATAAAAAGTTTCTGCACCCCAATAAGCCGATGCAATAATCTAAATCATACCAAATCAAAACAGATTAGAAAAAGCCCAGGTTTAGTGGATACAATACTCCCAGATGGTTTTCCAGGCCCCCAGAGAGGAGACGGGAAAGGAAGACCAGAAAATCACATGTCTGTTTTCTGGGGGACAGTTTAAATATCCTGTGGGAATGGTCTTGAGCATCTCTGGGGGAGGGGTCATCATTTTACCAGCTTTCTGAGATGCAGCAGGGTTTGGAGAGGATGAAGGAGCTTCCATCCAAATAATTTCCTTCTGTGTATCTTACTCTCAATATTTTTTGTATATGGCTTCTGGCTCCAGGTATGTCACTCTCTTTCTAGAGGGAAAGTGTTAGTTTGTAATGGATATGGAACCCTGGGCTTGTTTCCCAAATGGTACCCATGTTAGACATGCCTGTGGTAAAGGTGCTAGGGAAACCCCCATTGCATCCTTGAGAAAAACATCAAATAGTATATAGTATTTATATAAGGAGTTTCATCACTCGACAAATTATCTGGGCCTCTAGAAACTTCTCTTGAGTGCATATGATTTGTGGGCTTAGATAATATTAACTTCTTGTATTAGGAGTCACAAATTCAGGCACATCCTCATGTTTCATGAGTATCATCAGTATTGGATTCCTAGAGTCAAATGTTTGGGGGAAAGGTTTGCTTCAGGATTCTATTTCTTTCCTTCTGAAATTTAATTATTTTTGTTTATCTTCTCAGCATTGCAGCCTCCCATTCTAATAGTTCCTTTTGTTCCTGACCCACACCCATGGGTAGCATTGAGGGAATTTATGAGAGCACCTGTGCCCCAAAGGGACATCAGTTGCTATCGCCAGGAGTGGTGGCACATGTCTTCAAGCCCAACAGCTGGAATGCATGGCCAGCTGGATGTCTGTGAGTTAGAGGCCAGTCTGCTCTACATAGTGAGTTCCAGGCCAGACAAGGCAACACAGCAAGGTCCTTTCTCAAAATACATAAAGAAAAATAATAAAAATAGAATATAAATAAATAAAAAATGTCTGTAGATGTGCTTAGTATTCTCGTGCCTCAGTCAGGATGATGCCAGATACTCATAATTACCCTGATCATCTGGAAACCATCTTTAATCTCAGCTGTGATGATATTATAAAGCACTGATGCATTCATATGAACATGAAATTAAGCAGCAGTTTGCAGGCGGGGGTGGCACAGAGGTTCGGAGGGCTTGCTGTGCTTGCAGAGGATGTGGGTTTTGTTCCCAGCAGGGTGGCTCACCACCATCCCTACTGCAGTTCCAGAAGATCCCTCTTCAGAACTTCAAGGTCACTGGGCACATGTGTGTTACACATACACATACACAGGTGAACATTCACAAGGCCCTTTGATCAACTGGAGTGTCCAGGGGACATACTCCAGAGTAGACAGCTTGTCAAGCCAGGACATTTGAAAGACTCAAAGTATGTGAACTAACTGATTTGTCATGGTGGGAAGAAACTAGGAAGCAGCCCAGAAGGAAAGTCAGAAGCTCAGAGTCCTAGGACAGAACAGAGCATTCCTAAGCAATGGTACAAAGAAGACTTCACACAAATAGAATGAAAAAAATGTTCTGAGGAAAACGAAAAGAGAAAAATCAAAACCCCAGAGCATAGAAGCAACACCAGGAGGGAGATGGGGACTGGGGAACCCCTGCATTAAAGGAAGGAACGTCTGTGGCGTGTCCCATGGAGAATGCTCACCTCACAAATGCAAGCCCTGAGTGTCATCTCAACCACTGTGGGGAGTGGAGACCATGGGACACGCTCACACTCCAGTGAATCAAGCCATTCCTAGAGAGACAAATCTCAGACATTTCCTCTCGGTTGTGTTTCCTAGAGTTTATAGATTATACATCCATAAAATCATGAGTGTGTATAAGACAGGAAAGAAGAGGTGAAATTACGTAAGTGGGCATAGGGGACAGATGGGATAGGGACAGCAAAGAAATGCCAGATAGGAGAACAGACTCAGTGTGTAGCCTTCACCTAAACTAAATGCCCTTTTGTAGGGCTTGATAAGTTGACTCGGTGCCTAAAATCCCTTGTATCTCTTACAGATTCTCAGTACACATGAGGGGGCTCAAAACCAGAAATAAATCCAGCCTCAGGGATTCAACACCCTCTTCTGACCTCCATTCACAATGCGGAGAATGATGAACATGCAGAATGCTCCCTCCCTCCTTCCCTCCCCACCCCCCTCTGGTTTATTGAAACAGGGTCTCTCTTCATAATATCCCTGGTGTCCTGAAACTGACTTTGTAAACCAAGCTGGCCTCGAACTCGGAGATCCTCCTGCCTCTGCCTTCCAAATGCTGGGGATAAAGGAATGTGACACCACTTCCCAGCACAATGGAGTTTCTTAATTTTAAACAATTTTTAAAAATTATATATAATCGTGACAACAAATTGAAATTTTACTAAGCATACAAGTTATTGTAGTCTGTTCAACATGGTCCAACAGTCCCTAAACAAAACATCAAGTCAGACCTTCACACTGACTCATGCAGAGCAGCTCAGGTGCTTGTGCTGTGTGTTCTGTAAAGCAGAGCTGGCTCTCACTGGTTGGCTCCTTCTCTAATGGCTCTGTCTGTTTTACAGGAAAGGATTTCATCTGGGAAACAGAACAAGTACTCAGAAAATGAGCATCAATGTTGACCAGGAGACGGACTATGCCGAACTGGTTCTGTCTGTAGGAGAAATCACACTGGGAGAGAAGAATAGAAGGACAATGAAAAATAAAGAACTGAAAGCAAGAGAGGCCCACAGTATCTCACAGGCTGTGTGCGCTCTGCTGAATTCTGGAGGGGGCGTGGTCAAGGCTCGCGTTAAGAATTCAAATTGCAGCTTCATCAGAGATGGAATAGGACTGGACTTGGAAAATTCTTTTCATGAAATTCTTCCATTTCCTCAGAAATACCTAGACTACATGCAGAACAAGGGGTACTTTTTAATTTTTGTGAAACCATGGATCCCGGATATCTCTGGTCAGTGTGTACTCACCTTGAAAACCAATCTCTATGTGAGAAATTTGTCAACTTCATATGAACTGAAAGGTCCTGATGCAGTGCAGTTCCTCAAAGCCAAGAAAGACTCTGAAGGGAGGTCATGTTCAAGACAGAGCTTGCCTAGATTATGTGACTCTGATGCATTACGACATGGAAGTCTACACACATTTTTTAACATAGAAAAGTTGACCCTGGAAGAGACATCCTGTTTTACTAAATCCAAACATGCAGAAGTTAAAATGTCCCCTAAAGAAAAGAT